GAGAGAGAGAGAGAGAGAGAGAGAGAGAGAGAGAGAGAGAGAGAGAGCTTTAGAACATTTTAGTGGGTGAGATATCTTCATGCATCTTTTCACAATAAACATTAAATCTTAGAAATTATGATTTTGTTATGGCTCTCAATAGTGCCCCACTTTTCCTCCCTGTGTGCTGTGGATATTTTTTATACTCAAAATCAGAAAGTGTGTCCTTTATCTTATCTTCTAAAGGGCACAGACACAACTGTGCCTGTTTATTACAACTTGCATCACGAAAAGCAAAGCAATCATACTAGAGTGCTTACTGTTAAAGTGGCATTTTGGGAAACGTAAACAGATTTCAAACTCTTTATACCTTTCACATGTATGTCAGTATCCCTTCAGGCGACACATTTGTTTGTCCATACAGGGTATGCTGCAATAACCTCATTAGTTGAGGTCTATTTGTATTCAAATGTGCATGACTTTGGAAAATGCATCCTCCGGAGGCTTGTGGCTCCTTGAGATTGCAAATCTCTTTACCCGTATCTGGTTTTGTGACCTGGTTGTTTGTTTTGTAGATTTGTTTTTAAAGAAAGGCCCCCAAAAATACACAGAAGATAATATTGTTGTTGGCTTAATACCAAGTGAAAAGCCACATGAGACACTTACAGCTGAAAACATTCAGTGTGCTGACAGATGTTTGTGCATTTGTGTTCTTACCCAAGAGGAACACATGGTGTTTAAATGGCAGGGGAGGGGGTGCTAATTAAGTGTCAAGGTGAAAGTGCTGTCATGTCCATGTGTACTGATGATGTCATTCCTTACCAACACCCAGAGGTCAAAGTTGGATGAAGTGGCAGCTTTTGTAATGCAGTAGGATGTTGTGTGCCTCTGTGTGTGTGTATGTAACCAAAGCTGCTTGGAGTGTAACCTGATCCGCTCTCAGGGGGTCACTGCAGGCCCGACCCTTGGCCTGATTCCCGGCATTCACCTGCAGAGGCAAGGTCAGTCAGTCAATGCAACGAGCCAGAAGACACAGCAGCAATAGAAGGGAGGAGGAGGAAGCCGGAGCAGAGGTGGATAGGGAAGGACGGAAGAAAGAAAAGAGGGAAGGGGGAGACCGAGGAGGAGGGAAGAGAGAGTTTACAGTAGAAGGGGAGGAGAATGCTCGGCACTCTCCCCGTGACCAGCCCACTCAAGTTAGTAGCAGCAAGCTGTGTTTGTCTGCGTAGCGTCTCTTGACTCCACACGCGCTGCGAGATTTAACAGGGGAGCGGCAGCAGAGGAGAGCACAGGAGTGTGGAAAGGAGGAGGAGGAAGTTAGCTGAGTCAGTACAGGAGAGCAGAGTGAGCGTCAGCAGCATGTGTTGCAGCATGTTTGTGTCGCCCCCACAACGCACAGAGCTCTGCAGAGGCTGCCTGTACACAGTGAGCAAGGTAGAAGGGTAGCGGAGGAGCTGCACCGCACTGTGGTCACCTTCAAGCACAGCGGAGCACACTGCCGGGTAAGTGCAACACAGGGATGGCACTTGACAGAGAGAGAGAGTGGACGTGTTGAAATCTATTACTAAAGGTAAACGTGTCTGTTTGCGACCGAGACGCGCAAGCGAGGGCGTGGTTTGTGCTTTAGCACCGCCCCCTCCATGTTTACAACAGTCACGTGTTAAGCATTAAAGTTGAGTCAGCACATGGGCACTGACGGATTGAATTAACTGTAAGTATAACTTAATGACTGTTGGACAAGTAGCAGTTTCCAGGCAACATCAGCTTGCTTTCTGTTTTGTTCCTGCGGGTTAATTAATAACAGACAGGGGGTCAGGCTAACTAACACAAGGGCTCTGCTTTTCCATCTCACTGGGCTTCCCCTTCTTCATTCAGGGGCCAGTCATATTGCGAATGAGTGTTGTGAGTAGCTGTAAACTTGGACATGCTATGCCCCCTGGTGCTGTCCCTTGTTATTCTGTTTTAGCTGTTCTGAGCTGATATCAGTGATCTGTTTCCGTTATGACTTTATCTTTTCTTGATGGCAAGGTGAGAAAGTTCAGGCTGGAAACAGGAAACCCAAGACATGTCAACATGCAGACATCTACTGATTAAATCTACATGCTGTTTTCTGTAAGCACGGCTGTTAAGGTGTGGAATAATTGTTTTTTTTTATTACCCGATTATGTAACAGTAATACAGAAAATGACAGCAGCATGGAGATCACAGGCATTCAGAGCGGGTTGTTTCTTTCACTCTGTTGTTCATTAATGTTTCATGTTTTGCAACTTTTTAGCAGGAGTACCGGTAGTCTAAATAAAGTACGTTTAAAAATAACCTAATATTGCTTGAGCTCGGCACACACAGTGAAGAGAGCAGCTACATAATTGTCCAACATTCTTTAAAATTAGTTTTAAAGGCCTGGAGGAGTCAAAGTTTTAACTTTTTTTTATTATTGTATTTGTGTGAGCAAAATTCATGTTTGTGATCCTCCATCTGTGCTGTATGTGTCACACAAAGGATACTCTTTGTAGTGGTTGAACAGGTGAGAGCCTCCCCAGTACAGCTAGAATGCAAATGTACAACAGGTATGTACTAAATGTACATATACTTGTTTCCAAAAAGAGTTAATGAGCTTCTTCTGCGTGCAGCCACGCTGTCTACTACTGGTTCATAAATAATGAACGAACGGATTCAATTCTGAATCTCAGCTGATACTCAGCGGAGAGCATTACCTCAGTAGTGTTTCATCCTTCTGTACTCGCACGTTAAATCAACTCGCATTGTAATTTGCTTAAAAACAGGACCTCTCTGTAAGAAACTGCTCACATGTTCCAGACGTACTGAGTGTTTGTTTGCACCTGCACACCTCAGTTTATATCTGACTGGGGGAAATAATGGAAACTTTCCCTGCTGTACACTGAGGCGGCCTGTATGGGAAAAAATTCCACAGTTGAGTGTTGTGTGTTGTGAGGTCAGTGTTGCTGCAACGCGATGCCACAGCCAAGTGTTGTGGTGTGAGGCTGTGGTGAGGCTGTGTGATTTCAAGCAGTGGGACAGACAGAAAAGGCCAAGTGCTCCATGTATTGGCTACACGCAAGATTTCAAGCCAGATTTTAAGTCACGTAGTAAAGGCAGGCTTTTCCTCTACATCTTAATTATTTACTGATAAAGGTAAGAATGAAAGACACTTATTGTATCTTTAAAAAATGCTCTAAACAATGATTAAACCACATGATTGTACTTGTTGTACCAGCAGGACTGGTTTGTCTTCAATAGTGTTACTTGCTGGGTAAAATGTTTTATTGTATCAGACTTCCTTGTAAGTGCAAAGCACCAGACTGTAATGAAATAAGTAGTTCCTTTTTTCCTGTAAGAATAGTTATGTGAGGCTCAAGAGTGCACTGTAAACAAAGCTGCAGAGAGCCTGGTTTAAATTCTTAAATGCTGGAAACAATGCTTTAATCACAGCAATAGTATCAGAAAAGCAAGTTGAGAAACAACAATAGAGGCTCCAGTCAATATGACGTTTGCATTACTACACAAGCAACACTTTATTTAATAGTTCAACACATGGGTGGAGTTATTTGTTGGTTGATGTGTGTTGGCTTTGAGCATTGAATCTGTTGGTGTTCCCATGTTTGCACGCAACATGCTCACACTTGTTTAACTACACACTGTCATGTATAGCGCAGCAGAGACTCAAGCGTGTAGCCCACTACATTTATGTTCTGCTGTCCCGCAGGCCGAAGGTCACGCTGAGAGTTTGACCCGGAGGGACGACAGGGCGCTTCTGACCGAAGCCTCGAGCAGCCAGCTGAGTCTGCTGTCTGGACCAGACCTCACAGTCATCACCGGAGTGGAGGAGAGCAGAGGTGCATCTGGAGACCAGGACGAGCTTGAGTTTCCACATGACCTGCTACCCAGTCTAGACTTCAGCAGTGAGTTCAACATCTGGGAGTCCTCGTTGGGGTAAGTTGAGTGGTTACACACACACACACACACACACACACACACACACACACACACACACACACACACACACGTACAATTATGCAGGTAATTGCTTTCACAGTCTCACAGTAAAAAAAATACAATATAGTGAATAAATACACCAGCCTTCACTAAACTAAACTATTACTATTGTATTACTGCAGAATAATGTATTGGATACTTATCTTACTTGCTTTATTGCCTTAAGGGAACAGATTTGTACCAGTTATTCAAGCAAGGTGAAAGCTAATCAAGTGTCTTTGTACATGTGTGGTGTGGGTTTGTGTTAGCAGAGCTCAGACTAGCTCAGGTGAGAGGAAATGTGAGCAGGTGAACCCCCTGCTGGCGGGCCTGCAGCACCACATTGAAGTCAGTCGACCACTGGTGGTTCTAGATACAAGGTACCACGTCGAGTCAGCATGATTGGGGAGAACCGGGCATGTGCTGTGGGAGTGTGATCAGCAGGGAGGATAAAGAGTAAAACCAGGGAGCATGGAGTGAAACGAACCTGTGATGGACATCGCCTGTTTGGGTGTTGCCTGTCTAAGCAGGCTTGGCTTGAGGTGTAGTCATTTGTTTTCATGCTTGGGTGAACTATCTGCAGACTGACTTAATGTTCTGTTTCAAGTGTTGCCTGGCATTCTGCTTTTGTCTGAGCGCTGAGGTTAATTGCACTAATTGTCTGAGGCTTTAATGTGTTCTGACAACCCAACTTCTAGCGCTAGTATAACTAATTAATTATTGCTTGATTTGAATGTGTGTGACTATGAGTTTAATATATGGGTAGCACAGTAACGAAGTAAATGCCGACAGATGATCATGAAGTAATGAACAAGATGCAGGCTTGAGCAGCAGGTTGGTGAGGTGAGTAACATGTTGTCAGGGCTTTTGTGTCTACAAGCCTTTATGCTGAGACCGTATTAACCACTTACATGTAGTGACGCTTAGTGGCATTATTTCTCACTTTATTTATTCACATCTCAACATGAATAATGACTATAGTGGTGGCTGCGTTCATTAAAGAAATAGATAAGGACTTGGTTTTGTGGGGGGGTGGGCAGATTTCAAGATACATGCTGATGACATGAGTAGGAGTAGCCAAACTTAACATTAAATAATGACGGTGGATCTATACACTCAGTGAGGCTCAAGGATTAAGATGGTCCCATAGCATTGTTCCTGTGCTGCCAGCTAATGGCGTAGCAGTGACTCAGCAGTTACAACTGACTGGCATAAAGGGTTATAATTGTTAAAGCCATTATATTCCAAGCACTCCAACATGATGACGCTTGCTCTGCACTTCAGGGAGTGTTCAGCAGGGCAATGTCACTGCTTTGATGTCTTTTGACAGACAGTATATTATGAGGAAGTATTTGTTTTGGTGAATAAGCGCGAGCATGTGTAAGGTTGTTTGTATGGTAACAGGATTTGTGACCATCCCTTTCTTTCTTACGGTAATGATAATTAGGCTGTAATGTAGCATGTAGCATTTACAGTTACAGCATAGAGTTGAGTGTCCATTACAGCGATCAGAATGATGTCATAGGCAGGCAGTATTGCTCAGTATACATAATCACTGTACACAACGGCTGTGACTAGAACAAAGACATTCCTTCCTGGTTACTAATGTACAGTATATGGATGCACCTTGGTTCTTAGTAGTTGCTACTAGTAGTACTAGGTTCATACTTTAAAGGTAAGCATGAAAAACATAGGCATATACATCCTTGTTAAGCTTTTGGTACAATTAGAAAATCAGGCAGTTACATCAAAATAAGGAAATTATAATTAAAGGATTGTTGAAAATCGCTATGCACAGGACAATTGCATAGGTAGTGTAACACCTAAATTAACCACGCTTTGGTGTGTATGAACAGACCTGCATGTTCAATAACAAGCATATGCTCAGAGACAGTTGATATTATTTATTTCAGGGGAATGTACATCACAGAATAGGCTTCCTGTGTGTTGTGTGTCCATATCTTGAGTGCTGTGTCTGAGCATGGGCTCTGCCAATAGCAGCGCTTTGTGGCATCGTGGAATGACCAGCTGTCTGCCAGCAAGACTCTTAACTGTGTCACCCTACCCTTGCCTCAGGCCTCATGACAGCGACCCAGTTCTCACAGATGCTCAGCCTTCACTTCGGCCAGCTGCCGCACCTTACCCGGTTGTCCAACCCGTGGCCCCTCCCCTATCGGTGCTCCTAGACCAGGAACTCCAAGAGGCCTTCCAGGAATGTGAAGAACAAATGGCCTCACTGGGCATACTTAATGCCAGAGGAACCCCCAGCACCACGTCTGAGACAGTTAACGATGTAGGGAAGAAAACTGGAGAAGGGATGGTTAATAAATCCAATGAGTCATCGTCACTGCCTCCAATTGCAGTCCAGCCAGGACACAGCAACGGTGTCCATGGAAACAAGAGTACACACGGAGACAGTGAGGCAGCAAACAGTCAGACGGATACAGTTGTGTTTAGTTTCAGGAATTACATATTGGGCACTGGGAATAGTGCTACGGCAGCAAAGACAGAGAGTGAAATAAAAGAAAAACAGAGCCTGGATAAATGTCCAGAGATGAAGACAAAAAAAGAAATTAAGATAGAGGAGCAGGAAAAGGAAACACCCGCACGTACACAATTAGAAACAACTACAGATTTATTTAAAGATCTCGTGTTCTCTGAGCAGAGAGACAATTTTAGAAAGGAACATGTCAATTCTAATGCAGCCATTGAGGAACATGGCACTCTAGATTGTAATACAGTGATTAGGGAGAAAGGTACAGAGGTAATAACAGAGATTATAGATACAAAGAAAGAGAATTGTGCTGATGAGTCCAGTATTAACGTTTGTATAGTTGAAACAGGAGAGACAGATGATTCAGTCAATAAAACACCAGAGTGCAGTAAAGATGCATTAACAGAGACAACTGCAGGAGCAAACAATTACAGAGAGGGAGATCAGGAGTCAAACACAGACAAATGGATGAACGTATGTGACAAACAGGCCGGGCAGGAGAAAAAGGCAAAGAAGAAAGAAAAAAAGAAACAAAGGAAAAAGAAAAAGATAGAAGAGAAGTACGCAGAACAGAAACAGAAAGCAAAGACAGTAGTACAACCTGAAAATGATTTACAGGCGGTGTTTCTCAAGAATGCAGGAAATCACACAGATTCAACAGCAAATGTCGAATCAGTGACGCAGGCAGACGCTCCGACTGTGATTTGTGGGGAGCAGCCTGATAATGGGTTTGACTGCAAGCAACAGCTGAGTCCCGGGGGAAAGCACAGCCCCAGCCCCCCACTATCATCATCCTCTCATAGCAGGCAGGATCATCTTACTGACTCGGTCTGTTCACCTGCCTCCAACCAGAGGCCTCATCATTCAGATAACCACAACCATACGGACGCCCCATGTGGCATTAATCACAGCTCAGATGAAAGCCCACAGCGGAAGCAACATGTAACCGGAGGTGTCATCGACAACCAAAATACACCCATGACATATGTCCAAACTGCAGTTATCAATCCAGCTGTTTGTCCTGATGAGAGATCAGATGCACAAACACAGGAGGCTAAAGTTACCTCAGAAGCAGCGCTACTCACACATGAGAATCACAGCCCACTCTCCAACACCCGAACTTGTGTGGGAGCGAGCGGCGTGGAGAGAGCCCTTGAAGAGTCTTTAGTGGTGGTTGCTGCGTTGCCACTGGCAACACCCACGATGCCAGAAGTGATAGAAAGCAAGGGAGAGGGAGAAAGCGAGAGGCGTGATTCACTGGTGAGAGTAGCTACTGTAGCAATCGCAGAGAGTGAGAAAGCAGTAGGAGAGAAAGAACTGGGAGGAATAGAAAAAGGACTCCTGGACAGCCTTCCTCAGCACGCATTAATCTGTTCACAGGGCAAATGCTCACTTGCATTCACAGCCAAAGAGGGAGAGGCTGCATCTGAGGAAAGCTGCAGCAGCAAAATGCCACACAACTCGGCTGAGACTGAAATGAAGGGACCGAGAGAGACAACCGTCCGCAGTGCAGACACAGAGATACCAGCTGATGAGGGAGACAAAGAAAGAGAGGCTCTCCGTTTAGAAGCCTATATCAATACTACTCCCTTTGGGCTACTCACTGGTCCTGATTGTCTGGATCATGGCGCTGCGGGATTGGAGGGAGGAGGAGGAGGAGGAGGAGCAGGAGCAGGAGGAGGAGGAGAGGAGGTGGGAGAGAAAGGAGGGCTGGCCAGAGAGCACAGTTCATTCAGCCAGCCAGAAGGCTATGCTAGCGGGGTGTCATCAGCTGGGACTGAGACGCATCCGCCCACCGATGTTGCCGAGTCACAGCTGAGGTCGCAGAGCTGGAGTGAGCCGATTGCTGCCATCTCTGGGAGTATCTGCACTGAACAGGACCGTCTCTCTCAGCCCTGCCAGGAGCAGCGTGGAGCAGCAATTTTACCTCTCCTCACTCACCCTGAACGGAGCTCCAGCATTACAAACGGAGGGGTAAGGGCTGATCTCAAACAGAATTTGATTGCAGAGCAAGCCCTGTCTGTGGGACACGCTTGTGAGGAGTCATCCATCACAGAGACAGAGAGAATCTGCAGCCAAGTCTTCTTGCCTTTAATCACACCTCAGCATCTGACTACTTCACAACAAATCCCAGCCGAGCGACGAGCGAGCAGCAATCAACAGGTCCAGCCTGAGAGTAGCACAACAGAAACCAGGACACCCGAAAGTGCAGCTGAGTTCCAAGCCCAGAACCAGAGCAAAAGAGGTGCTATGTCTGTTGTGGGTGTGTACGTATGTGACAGCAGTAGAGGCAACAACAGAGTTCACTTCGCGGACACTGTGAAACAAGAAGGCAGTTCCTCTGTGGATCTCAGGGACATGTCGGTGTCGGCTATGGGCTGCGCCTCTTTGCCTCCGCTGACTGTATATGAGAGCTTGCACCATCCTGTGGTTGAGGCCAGCTACACCTTCCCAGACTTTCTTGGCTTGAAAAAGCCAGAAATCCCTACAAATGCAGCTCGTGCCACAGATGAACCGGCAAAACAGAGCTCAGCCGACTTTCCAAAGCCACAGAAAGATGTCCATTTGGATGAAGGAGGTACAGGGACTAAAGTTACCAAGGAGAAGATTAACATCGATCCGTCAGGTCACGACAACTTGAAGTCAAACACTATGGATTTACAGTCAGTGGGCGAGGCCCGCTCAAAACAGCCCCCATGTGCTACTGAGAAGAATCAGACCGGTGACCTTTCACAAACAGCAGAAAGAGCCACCTCTGAGGCTGATCATTCAACAGTTGAACAGGTGTCAGCGAAGAGGACAAAGCAATCAGAGGCGGAAACAGAAAAGGGTGCTGTAAATCTGTGTTTGTCGACTGAGAAAGAGATAGATAAGATACATGCTGAGCCTCAGGAGTCACCTTTAATTAGTGATGAAGGTAACCAACATCCTCTCTCCTCATGTTCTGTGCGTCCAGCTGATGATGTCACCTGCAAGCCTTTAAGTGATGTCTCTGCTGAGTTAGCTGGTGGGCAGCTCTCTACAAACCTTGAGTCCTGTTCAAAAAATGAAACTGTGACCATGACCTGCGCAGCCTCTCTTCAAACAAAGCCTAGTGACCCCAGTTATCAGCCTCCCACCCAATTGGATCAAACACCTCGTCATGAACTAGTTACCACAGATACCATGACGCCCACAGGTCACTCTGCTGATCTGACAAAGGATGAATCGGCGACTTCAGAAGTGACAGTCTCTGACCAGTCAATTCCTGTTATCGAGCAATGTTCCAGTGACTCTTCTTTAGTACTGCGGCGTCCTGGCCCGATGTTGAGTCACTTGGAGTTCATTACAGACTGTGATATCTCTCTTCCTGAGCACACAGATAACTGCGGCGCTGATGGTGACAGCACCAAAGTCGAGGGAGAGGTTGATGGCAACAAGAGCAGGGAAATGACACAAATGTCTTTAGCACAGGATCTGGAGCACGGTGATGTCAGCGTTAAAGCAGATGAGACTTGTTCGAAACTGAAGGACGAAAATTATATTATGGAATCTGTCGCTGAACTTGAGAATTCTGCAGCTAACAATGTAAATATGCCATTTCCTCAAGACGGAAATCTGTCTCCTCCTCAGCCACCTGGTGCAGAGGATGTACTGGCAAAGGGTGGGTCCGATAATGTAATTCCTCTATCTTACACTAAGCCAGGCTCTATTGGCATTAAACCTGATATTTTCGATGCCTCCATTACAGATGATCTCATTAATATCAGCTGCCGACGCAGCTCTGACCTGCCTACCAAAGAGGCTTATGATGACATTAAAGAAAACGATATGAACGAGAAACTGGGAGATCAGACCTCTGTGCTGTTTGCAGAGGAAAAGAAAAGAGTTGAGGAGGCGACAATGGATAATCAAAAGGAAACAGCAGACAGCAGCAAGCTGCAGACAGGAAAGACAGGCAAAGTACCACAACGGTGTAATGGGCCAGATAAAGAGGCTGTAGAGGAAATTAAAGACCTGCAGCCACCACATGAATATAAAGTTCAAATGACTGAATCAACAGTAATGGACATTAAGAATGAAGGAGAAAGAAAGAGTGGCATTGCATCTAAAAGCCAGACAGAGACTTCTTCCTTACCTCCCGCAAAACCTGTAGGGTCACCTGGTGATGGACTAAGTGCTAATGTAGAGTCTGGTGTTGAACCTCACACTGTTTACGACCTGAGTTTGCGCCAAACCCCGACAGCAACACTGGAATGCAGCTCCGACAGGGACACAGGACTAGATTTGAGTGCAGCTCTTGGCCAATCACAGTCCACACCAGAGCCAAACTGTTTTGCTCAGCAACAGGAGCAACAGCGGTGGCGTCTGGGATCCAGACATCCCACAGAGGAATTATCAGGTGGCTGTCTAGAGTGGGGAGAAAAGACTAACAGTCAGGTCGGGCAGATCCAAGCACTAGCTTTAGGGGTGAAAGTGGTGGTAGAGGGAGGAGACAGCTCTGTTTTGAGTTTGTGTCAGTCAGGAAACAAGGATGAGTTGACATGTGATGACAGCAGTGGCAATGAACGAGCTACGGGCTCAGAGAAAGCCAAGGGAGAGGGAGCTCAATCTGCAGCAGCGGTTGACAGGGTTTATGTGCCGTCTCACCTTGCCAGTGATTTTAATGAGAGTGGAAGGACGGCTGAGAGAAATGCCTCGGCTGACATGGGGAGAGTAACAGCTTGCTCTCAGGTAGGTGAGATAAGACAGCGGGTGGATGAGAATGAACGCGCCGCGTCAGGGGTAGTTGGGTCAGATACAGACACTGTGTGTGTGAGTGATCTAGTTTGTAAAGGTCAGCAAAAAGGCAATCTATCAGCTGCCTGTCAAGACCAACATGAAAAACCAGAGACCTCAAAGAACACTGCTGTATCTGTTGAGTCAGCATCACAGGAACCTGAGACATCACCTATCCAAACGTCTGTTTCATCAAAGTTCAGCACAGACAGTCAAGGCATTCATACAGCAGTTATTACAGGTGAAAACCAGGCTGGAGAAATTCAGACAAACCTATTCAGTACTCTGGTTGGGCAAGCAGGATCTCTGGAAAAGGATTTCAGTGCTGCCCCGGCTGTGAAAAGCAACAGTGGTGAAACTGAGGAGTGTGAAATTCAGGATGCAGTGTGCGAGCCTCACGAGCTCCAAAGCTCCAATAAAATGACAGCCACACAAAGCAGCCCAGGAGTACAAACACCCATAAAAGGCCCTGATGTAGAGGAGATCACAAAGGAAGATAAAGCAGCTTTGGACGAAGAGAAAGCAGGCAGCCAGGGGAAGGGACAAATTGAGATAATAGCGAGGAACAATGAAGCAATGACAAAGCAAGAGGTCATGAGTCAAACTGGGAGTGCTAAAGACAGTGGCTCCTTTGGTCTTTCTAAGGCATCAGAAAATGACAATTCCCCCTGTGAAGGAAGATCAGTTGGAAAAGCTCCTGTTGAACAAGGGTCTGTGAACACAGAGGCTGCCGATGTGTCAGAGAGTCCTGCTCCTGGACTAACAGCCGGAAAACCAGAAACAAACTGGATACAAGCTCTAAAAGAAGCTGCACACCTTTCTCAGAGTAAACAAGAGACCTCAAGGTAAACACAAGAGCATGCGTCTGTGTTTGTAATGATCATATAAGAAAAATGAAAAATAATTTGAGATTAGAGGAGTATACATGAGACTTCACACTGATAAAACTATGTTGATGGCAAAAAAATGCTGTGCAACCACACGCGTCTGAAAGGTCAGTGGAGGTCATCATGGGCCTGACCTTAATGTGTCACACAAAGTAGCATGTTAGCGTTCTGTCACATATCATCTGTTCAATTACATCACGGAGAGAAAGGCACATGTGTAGTCCGATTTAGGTTTGTTGACAGCTAAAGAATTAGCTAGAAAATGTACATTTATTTGGATTTTCCCACGGGTCGTATATCTGTGATGTTCAGCCTATCTACCAGGTATTTTGTACTCGTATATTGCTGGAGTTTATTTCCAACTTAGCATTCCAGTAACACCACGTCCAGGACTTGTTTGGAGTGATATTACAGAGAGCTGTGTGATAATGAATATAAATGAAGAAGGTAAACACAGAGCTGCACTTTGTTTTGACTTGAGCTCGGGTCAGATGACTGTGCCTTTTGAAGTCTAATGGAAGTAATGCAGCCCTTTATATTCAAAGGATGACATCAGCTGTGACATCGGCCCTGCTCTCCAGGGCAAGAATGAGCCTTTTCTCACAGTCCTGAACACAATGCAACAATACACAAACACACAAACATGTACTTCTGCACACACATACACACTTGTGGCAACACAAGCCCCCATAACCACACATTTGTCATTTGTCAGTCAATCCTCGTTCATGTGCTGTAAACTAAACAACAAATCCCCCAACCCCCTCTTCTCTTGCATTGTTTTTCCAGACCCCTCCCATCTCTGGAGTCTCCTCAACTAGAGTTTTTCACTCCGACTGAAGAAATAGCTGCCCCTCTGAGACAAGAGGAGATCCGACCACCAGACCGAGCAGCAGAGATACCTCCTCTGAATCTTGTGAAGAAGCCTGTGGATTTTCCTGAACCTTTAAAGAAGACAGCAGAGCTCCTAGAACCAACACGGAGCACGAAAGTAGAGTTCCCAGAAAAAGCGGATAAAGTAGAGCTACCAGAACCAACAGAGAAGACAGTACAGCTCCCAGAAGAAGCGGAGGAAGTAGAGCTCCAAAAACCAAGTCAGCAGATAGTAGAGCTCCCAGAAGAAGCGGAGAAAGTAGAGCTCCAAAAACCAGCAGAGCAGACAGTAGAGCTCCCAGAAGAAGCGGAGAAAGTAGAGCTCCAAAAACCAACACAGCAGACAGTAGAGCYCCCAGAACCAACACAGACCACAAACATAGAGCTCCCAGAAACAACCAAGAAAGAAGAAGAGCTCCTAGAACCAACAGAAAGCCCAGAAGAGCTCCCAGAACCAACAAAGACATCAACAGAGCTCCCAGAACCAGAGAAGAGGCTGAGCCGTGAGCTGCCGGAGGAGCTAGGGGAAAGACCTGTAGAGGTCCTACCTGAGGAGCCATTTAAAGTGCCAGCTGAGGAAACTGCAGAGACAGAAACAGTCCAGGACCCTGCTGAGGAGCTGCAGGACAGCAGGTGAGTGACTGCCTTTGTAAAATCACAAGATTGATACATAATCAATCACAGGAGTGTTTCCTGAAAATCTTTCTTTTAAAACTCCACTCATTGTCCCACTGTAGAGTTTACAGTGAAAGCCTCCTTCACCAATTGTGGGTAATATGGAGTAATGTTTCCCCATGAGGCTGTTGCTCTTTTAGAGCTCAGTCAGAGTCTGGATTAAAAATACATGTCCTAGTAATCCTCAAACGACTAAAATCTCAGGATTATAGCCTTTTACCATGAAGACCAACAGGTTTAAGGGGAGAATGGTAATTTTGTGGTTGACATGGGCTTCCAACAGCAAACCACACATCAGAAGGATTTGTATATGACCTTTTAATGATAGTTTCTTCTAAACCTTATCATAACATTTCCATTACAGTGGTATATAAGAGACATTGTATTGCAGCTAATTTATTTGTGAAAAGGGAGAATGGCAACGTGACATGTGCTTTACAGCTCAGCAGTGCTGCCTGTCACACATTTAAAATGGATTTCCATGCGCTTGGAGATTCCCCTTGATGGGTTTGTTTGATTTTAGACACCGCGAGGACGTCTGGTAGGTTGTTGCTGTCTGCAGCGGTTTTACAGTGGATTGAACAAGAAGACAGAGTCTTACAGATTTGTATGTGTTGGTGACACGGCAATAAACCGTTTATGTTGTTAAAACTCTTGACTTAGTTAAATAGACATAGTAAACCAATGTTTCTTGTGTCGGCTGTGTGCATTCAGTATTTATTTTAGCATTTTAACAACTCCGGCTTGACTGACTTTCCATGTATGTCATTGTTTTACTGAAAGACTTCATATGTCACCAGAATGTTCATTGTGCATCTACGGGTTTGTTTTTCCAGTTTATTTACTATGTGAGGAGTGGCTTTTTGATATATTGCAATTCAGTAAAATGATAGCTGCTCTATTGCTGCATTTATTTTCTCAGCTTCTTCAGTTATCTCTCTTAGTCGTCACTCTCTCCTGCCGTGTGCTGCATGCCCAGGAGCCATCCCACATGCCAGAGTAGCACTTGCTGCTTGTCAGTCACAACACTTGCCTCATCACTGCTGTTGGAGACACAAAGGTTTGTTCAGAGTAGGAGGGAGGAGGAGTGACAGCTATTTCCACTATAGGTTTCATCCATAGATAAAGTTACACTTGCGTACGTGTGCCAGAGACAGAAATGTGACTGCATGGTCAATGATGTGTGTGTGTGTGTGTGTGTGTTTTTTCCCCCCGCCCCGAGAGGCTGTCCTAGCTGTCAGTCCTGCTCAGTCTGTGCGGCTTTGTGAACTGAAGCCTGTAGTGGGAGGAATTTAGGCAGGCACTCAACCCCACTGAAGTCATTTGCACAGACCAGACAGAGTGGAACAAAAGCCATAGTTCAGAGAAACACTTGAGCATGTGCTGCGGCGTGAGTGTGTGGGACAGAGTCGGTCAGACCCACAGACAGAGGAAAGAAGGACTGGGACGTACATGCTTTGGCTCTGGTGTTTTGGAGTTCAGCAGTCGCTCGGCAGAAGTCATTTCCATCACTTACTTGTAGTTTGCTCTGAATGTTTGATGGATTCCTCCCTGGCCGAGATCTGGGTGAGTTGACAAGAAGTAGGTTCCCTATTTATTCTGTCTGTGTCTACTGTAAGTGTTTGGGTTTAAGTCCCTCCAGGTTGATGCAACAGATGGTCTGTAGGTAACTCGTGCTAATGACACTCTGTCTCTGCTGACCTCACCAGATGGGAGGAGGGGAGGGACAAATAGAAACTGAAGGGGCAGAAGGCAGAAAATAAGGAACAAAGTTGCGAAATGAAGGGTGTACTTGGAAAAAGAAAAGTTACATGTTAGAGCATGTCGTGCTCCCCTGAGGCTGCATGATTTGAGGTTGGAGAGACCTCACAGTAGTAGTATAACTAGTGTTTAGATATGGTCTGTGAGTTTTTCCAAACATCTTGCTGGCATGGTAGACTTTTGAAATAAGCAGCTAATACATTATTTGGGGCCTCTAGCAGGAAAGGGCCACTGAATGATCTGCTGTATGACGTCAGGCATTCAAGTGCCGTAGTCATTTTTTTTTTTTTTTAAATATTGTGCAACTAGGTTTAATATAATGTAGTTCAATCTTTTGTAAAGCCATTTTTACTCATGAAATGCTGAGAATGACCGGAGTAAAAAGGAAGGAGGATGTGCTGTAGCCCACACTGTGCTGTAAATAGACTAGTTGTCATGGCGATTGAAGGTTGAAGTCCCTTTTTACATTAATAAGGTAGGAAATCACACCACGTCCATCATTCAATCAAGTAAGTAAGTAATAATTTGATCTCTGTAGTCCCAGAAGGGAATTGGTTGATTATTTATTCATGAAGTATGTGTTGTTGAGTGTACAATAGGCCTACGAGTGTGTGTGTGTGTGTGTCTGGACAGTATGAGGTAGCTGCTGGCTGTACGACAGGAATGGTCCTCCCATTGTTACCACCTAAAAAAGAACACGTTTCCAAGTACTTTCAGCTGGTTTTATTTACAACTCTCTGTTTATCGTTAAGCACCCTGCCCGGACTTTCGTGTCCAGCTGTTTCCCGTAGATTACGCTAAATGTGTGTGTGGAGGTTGGAGAACCAGTTTTTTTTTATCTGGACTGTGATAGAAAATGACTACTATATATATCGCTGGACTGGCCTTGTAAATTCTGGAATCAAGAACTGCTTATGAGGTGACTTTGAGCACACTGCTGAATTATTAACAATAAAAAAACTATTGGACAGCCTCCAGGTGTTAATGCCAACAGTAAAACTACATGGGCTTGAAGAAGTGTGTTGCTAAAGAATAGCATGTGTGCTCTGTCTAACTTGTTGCGTTCACATTGTAATGATAATAAATCTTCTCCATCATATCTGGAATAAGAAGACGTTGGAAAGCTCCGGCTGTTAACCTGAGTGGGTCAGCTGCCATTATCTCTACATAAAAGCCGTCGAACCAGTAAATACTTCACACTTGTGTCCAGGGTCATATTTTTTTTGGTCATTTTCTCTTCTCTATATACGCTTGATTTATTTTTCTATCTTCTGCGTTGCAGCTTTTGACGCAGCAGTGAGCCTTATGACAGTTTGCTTGGACTATGTTGTGCTTTGGTTGTTTCTATTTCCAGGCTGCATGTGCCAAGTTGGCCACAGATGCTGACATATGTATAGCTTTGGCCCGCTGGTGTAAGTCACTGACTGAGGATTTGTTACGAGAGGAATGGGACCAAATTAAAATTCATATATGGATTTGCAGGACATTTCGTCTTCTTGCAGACATCCTGTATCAATTACAAAGTTCTGTCCTATAATGGCAACCAGATTTGTGTTAGACGCAAACTGTGACTTGCTACGCCCTTAAGAAAAGCACACGCCCTCATTAATTGTTATTAAGTTCTGACTTTACTGGAGAGAGGGAGATGTTGAATAACAGAGCTCAGTTTCAGTCCGACATGAGCTGGAAAAGGACGTTCGGATTGTGCTGCTCAGCAGACAGCTGACTTGATGCTTGAGTTCTGTAAATGTGCTTTGGTTGATGGAGGTATGGTGAAGCTCTCCTTTGCAGAAGAGGCTACTGGGGTATTTTTAGAGCCAAACAGGAGGCATGCCCCAAGTGGGGAACAGCTGCATGGGTGTCAGATTAGGGAGCCTACCACTCCTGATAAGATGGGCCTGGATCGGGGCCAAATCCACTCCACCAGGTGGCCATTGATGACAAGGCCAGACGTCCTCAAGTAGAGCAAGTAGAGCAAGCAAGGGAAACATGGATTATCATGTAAGGGGACTAATGAGAGGAGTTACAGTTTGTTCTAATTTAGAATTAGGATGGTTGTGGTGAGCATTTTAGGTCCAGACGAATGCTCCATCTTTCTCCACTTTCAGGTAAGTTTCCGTCATGGTTCATTTTTCTGGAGGCAAGTGAAGTATGTCCTCGGAGTGCATTCCGAATCGCAGCTCGTGGCCTTCTTGTGTCTGGTCTGTATGTTGATGTTTTGTGCTCCCTCCCCCGCAGGTCCTCCCTCGCTGAGCAGGCAGTGAGAGGCGACCGTGTCCCTGCCTCTCCCCCACCTCCTACCTCCGAATACCACCTCGTGCCTGCCATCCCTGCTCACCTCCAAGACACCACAGAATTTCCCACTCCTCCTTCTACACCCCCGGAGAGGCACACTCCTGAAGCTCTACCAACCCCACCTGCATCTCCCTGCTTTCCTCCTCCTCCTCCTCTTCCTGCCCCCACCTCCCCTCCAGTACCCCCTGCTTCCCAGTGTGAGGACCACTTCCCTGCTTCTGCACCCTGCCACCCTCCTTTAAGGTATGCACATGAACATCACTGTTTCTGAACCACCTCATTGGGTCATTTCTCATGTCACTGTGAAGTTCATAATCACAGTAGATTTGTCCAGTGCTGACACTAGTCCCTTTAGCCTGCTTGATGAAAAGTAGCCATGTCTTATCCTTTTAACCCCAGTTTCAGGTCAAATTACAGCATTAAATCGAGATCTGGCACACTGAACTACCTCGTAGATGTTGATTTTCAGAGCTCCTGAACTGAGAGAGAAACTGCTGGAAATGTACTCATCCAAGCCGTTTCCTTTTTCTAACTTAAAGGGATGGTTCAACATTTTTGGAAATATGGTTATTCTATTTAAAAAAAAAAAATTTGCAGAGAGTACAGTGAAAAGATTGACATGGTAAATGTGCTAGCTGGAGCAGGCATGTAGTTATCTTAGCTTAGCATAAAGACAGGGGGAAACAGCTAGTCGGGCTCTGTCCAAAGGTAACACAATCTGTCCAGCCACACCTCTATATGCTGGACTATTTCCTGGCTGGTTGCAGTAACACTTGGAGTCTCTGCCGGGTTGCCTGATGACGGTACCCTGCCAAGAAATAGTACGCCACATAAACCCCCAAAAACTGTTAATTTAAATTGAAAATGTTCAGATGAAACAAACAAGATATCATGTGTTAAATATTGAGTTTTAGAGGGCCAGGTAGATGGATATTTGGACAGAACCAAGCTAACTGTTTCCTCCTATTTACAGTCATTGTGCTAAGCTAAGCTAATCAGCTGCTGGCTCATGCTTCATATTTACCATACCGACGTGAGAGTGGTATCAATCTCCTCCTCTAACTGTCGGCAAGAAGGTGAACAATTCCTTGAATACTATTCCTATAAAGAATCGTGAAATAGAATTGTGAGAGCGCTGACTATATACTGATATGTCACATACAGCGTTATTACCATTTTCTAAGTGAACTCCAGAGCAACTCTCTCGTCTTCTATTTCGGCAACCAGTTTTACCACCTCATAAAATTACACATTAGCATTGCCATGCACGTCGACCACATGAACTCATAGGAAACAGGATTTGCAAATGTATGAACTTAGTGGTCATGGAAACTAAAATGTATACTGTATAATTGTGGCTTGTTAATGGTGGATATAGCAAAGGCATCAGGGTGAAATATTTATATGTTGATCTTTTAAACATTACAGGATAAAGTAGAGCACTTACACACCATGCTTTTTCACATTAAGGCTTATAATAACCACTTGACATATCATGGCTGATTTCTTGCCATTTAAGCTGCACCCTATTAATGGCACCAAGCTACAAAAGACAATGATTTTCATTCATACTGATTACATTTAAATGCTCCTCATTATTTTGCTATCAGCACAGCTGATACTTCACATTTATCTGCAATTATTCCTGGTTTTGCAAATTATTTCATAAACTTACTGTATATTATAAGAGGTAATGATGTCACTCAGCCAATTTAATAGTGCACTGTTACTTACAACCAGCAGAGGGTGTTTTCTCCTCACAGAACCCAGTGTTCATGGTCCACTGCCTGCCTGTTTCTGCACTCTGCTGCCTGAATGCTGCAGGTATATGACAGCAACACAGGGAGACACACCAGCTGAACACTCTGTATTGTTTTCTGTGTAGAATTATACCTATTTACTTGTGACTTGATACTTTTTGTCTTTTTGAAAGACTCCCTTGCTCATAGAGGACCAGAATTTTGAGGGTATAGAATAGTGTTGTTATATTATTTACAATATCTGAGGGTTCTGTTGGGTAACAGTAGAGAGGAGAGAGGCGTGCTGAAGACACACAGAGCTGCGACTATGCCAACATGTGTGCAGGTATAAACTATACATTTAATCTGGTATATTAGTGGTATTAGTTAGTCTGGGAGATAATGGGTGGATGGCTGGCCTTTCTTTTTACCGTTTACCGTTTACTTTGATGACAGAAAGTGAAGGAATTGCCACAGAATCTCAAAAATCAGTTTTAAGAAGATCTACTGTAAATGCAGATGGAGGAAGTCTGAGCGTGGATGTTTTGTAGACACAGCCTCAGGGAATTAATCCCTCGGGTGATTGTTTATGGGAGCAATGCAGCCTTTTCTTGGCATGTGAGAAACAACGCTTTGCTCAGCAGGAGGATCGGAGGGATCAGATCAGCAACCAGCGTCCTGTCACAGATATCTAAAACCAGGATCCCCCAAAACACGTATTTGAACTCCATGTCACTGTCACAGTGTATTTTTGGTTTGATATTTTGTTATGACCCACTGAGTCCAAACCTATAATTTGCTGTGGAAGGGTGGTCCTTCCTGAGGTTTGTTGCATACTTTCTTGGTTAAGGTTTTTTGAATAGTTTTTCTGGGTCCTTGAGCTTAGCAGTGCCAAATTAAGGGGTAAATTGTGTGTTTTCCTTGTTTAATTTAAGCCTTTGGCAATCTTTGAGACTATACCTGTATTTAAGGTACATCTCAACAATGACCTCCTTCATAAGTCACGCTTATCATATCTAATTCTGACTTGGTTTTGTTTAAACACAAACAAAACCCATTTCAGGGGTTACATTTTGTTCTACTAACATGCTTAAACTGAATAAGGTTTTGCCAAGTCTTCACACTAAGATTCAGCGAACGGCCATGAAACCACGAATTGTTCTGCACCATCGCAGTCTGCTTAAAAGCATACACTATTTCCATTCAAAACCCCTTGCAGGATAGTGGTGACCCTGATTCCTCTTGAGCGTCGTTATGAATCTTTCAGCAAAAACTGCCACAGCCATATCTTCCAGTGCCTGAGTTTGTTGAATTTTTTATTTCTTCATTTTCTTTGGTCTACAGTTGAAACAGCAGTGCAGGGCCAGGCTCTTAAGAGGACTTTAATGTCAGTCATTCTATAGAATAGGAACTTGTACTTCTCACATGATTGTCTGCCCCAGATGCATCTTTGAACTGGTATGGGGGTAGGGATGGCAAGAGCAATCAATATTTTTGCTTTAGCAGGGGTCTTTATTGGGAGCTGTGAGTGGGCATCACATTTACTTGTCCCCTCAGGCTGTAAAACATCGACCAACAGGCTCATCCGAGACTAGAATCCCGTCAATATTCTTTGTGAACATCAGTTAATGGACTTCATGTTTACATGCAAACGCTCAACTTTTCAAATGTGGTGTTAGGTTGGACATGAACACTGGGTTTTGTGTGATACGTTGAAATGGAGATTCTTTCTTTTTAGTCTTTGTAGGCTGAGGTACGACACCTGAAACCTGATGACAGCAAGTTTGTGTGACTCCCAAGTGCTGCAGGCTGGAGTCGCTATTGTAGCGAGCTCTCATTTCCTCACTTTCCCATGAGTGTACAATAGATTTATTCTTCTCATATTTCCAACGCCTCTCTTTCCCATTGCTCCTTGAAAATCAATGGGAGATTTGCAGAAACTGTTCCTACTCTCATTTCCATCCCACAAGACACATTCCCTGTGCCTGTCACACACGTCTAAAAGAAAAGGGAACGGCTAGACAAAATACAATTATTGCTCTTCCAGTCTTTGATGCGATTCAATGTTTGATGAGAGTGCCAGTAAATTAGATCACCAACCCAGCCTGCTGTCCAGGGATTTAAAGTCATAGACTGTATTCACTTAGAAATGTATGTCCCTTCCTCTTCAGCAAAGAATGACACATCTGGATTAAGCTTCTATAATTCAAATCTATATCTTCAACATTTTGAGTGTGATAATGTTTGTTTGATGGGGAGTTCGATTTTGGTCTCTTTTTTGGTCTCATAATGCCTGTTTTGTCAATGTGAGCTGGTACACAGTTGCTGGTGGAGTGGCTTGAATGAAAGGGAATATAATAGGGTCAGACTTGAATAGTACACACGCATACTATTTTCTCATGGTCTATTGTTTACCTCAGGCATCACTCTGGTTGGCCACGCTGAGTGTTGGAAGCATCCATTGTGTGAAAAGGAGGCACAAAAATGACGTTTTCACTCTGCACTGAGAAAGGCGTGAGGTACGGTTGCTGTGGGAGAGAGGAAGAAGGGGGTCGACAGAGAGAAAGGGAAAGCGCCTGTTAATCAGCGGGGTTGTTCTGGGGGGTCTGCTATTGTTCGGCTCCCCTGCATAGTCACGGTAGCAGACGAGAAAAAGCTGCTTGTATTTTTAAAGGCGCAGGAGGCTGGAGTCAGGGGAGAGAGTGGAGGAGAGAAGGGGGAGGTGGCAGGGAGAGCAACAACACAGCTCAGCGATATCAGCAGCCAAACAGAGAAGAGGCACCTCAGACACTCATGCAAGACCGCAAGACAACAGGATTGTTATTTCATCCTATTTGTTTTGGATTATTCTCTTCGTGCAATTTCTACTCTTGGAGATTTTATTCCCCCTGGTGTTTATACCGCCAGATGAGAAAGTGGAATATTCTGTGAGCAGCAGAGGCTCAGGGATGCGGTGCATAAAGTGAGGAGCCCTTACTCATCCGCTGCTTTGCTCCTGATGCGAGCGGGACTCGCTCATCCTCTGCACTGCAGCACAGTAAGCTCAGCCGGTGCTCACCTCCTCCGACACAGACTGCCTGCCTCCTCTGTAAGGATCAGACTAAAAGAAGAGGGAGTTTTGGAAAAGGGGGTGGCGGGAGCAGGTGGATGTGGAGGGTGGCTGGAGAACAGGAGCCAGGCAGGGGGGGGGGGGGGGGGGCAGAGCTAGCCGAGGATGGGAGCCAACGAGTCCATGGAGCAAGGAGAGACCCCCTGTCCCTCTCAAGAACACATGTAAGTTTGACTTAACTTGCATTCCTACTCAGTGTCTGGAAATGTTCAGTGGTGTGATCAAAATCAAGAAAATCGCCGTATTTAAAAAGCTGAGAGTCTAGAGAGCAGCTCCAACTGCTTCTTTTATTTATTCATGGCTTTAAACAGTTCCTCCATGCAGCATACATGTTCATTGTGGATGCACGGTGATTTATTATGCAGAAAGCAATCACCTTTGAATAATATTATGGC